TTATTGAACTGTACACTTAAAATGGGTGCACACCGTGAGACAACTATATATCCTCCAAAGTGGCAAAAATGAAAAAGACAGAGAAAATCAGGAGCAACTGGTACTCTTGTACACTCTTGGTGGAAATGTAAATTGTTCCAAACACTTTGGAAAGGTATTTGGCATTATGTACTAAAGCTAAACACATGCATGTCCTATGACTCAGCGATTTCATTCCTGGATGTATACCCAAATGAAATATTTACATATATTCACCAAAAGGCTAATACAAGAATATTGATAGTAGTACTATTCAAAATAGTGAAAAACTGAAAATAAAACCAAATGATCATCTACAGTGGACTGACTAAATAAATTGTGGCATGCTTACAAAACGGACTTGCATACAGCCATGAAAATGAATAACCCACAACCCCATGCAACAACACGGATGGGTTTACAAACATGATGTTGATGTTCTTTTCATCTTAATAATATATTTTTATTAATATATAAAACTGTTATCACTTCAAAATGTACTCCATATAAAAAGTATTTTAGATTCTTTTTTCATACCAAGTCTTTGAAATCCAGTGTTATTTTACGCTTATAACACATCTTGACTTGATCTAGCCACATTTCAAGTGCTCAGCAGCCACATGTAGCTAGTGGCTACAGAAGTGGACAGCATAGTCTATAGCCTACTGTGTCTCATGGGCTACTTAAAAGAATATAAGGAAGTTCGATAAATGTTTCAGAGGTGAACATGCAGAGACAGACGACACAGGTCATCTGTTACTCTTTAATTATAGGACTTACTCCTTAAAAAGTACATAAAACTGTCCATCTCTTCGATTGACTGCCTTCACTCAGGATACATGCTGAATAACTCCTTTCTAGATTTTACTAGCATGGTAAAGTTATCAGTATCCCAACATCTGTCCCCAAAAGAGTAGTTGACACCTAATAATCATATTGTCCTTCACTTGAAGAATAACAGGCATAGATGATAAAGCAATTATATATGGTAGTCAGTAAAAGATTGTGACATAATGCAGACTGAAGACATCTGTCAACTATACCAAAACCAAAAAACTTGCTGCCATCGAGTCGATTCCAACTCAAAAGTATGACAGTGTTGAAAGTCAGTCATATGACAACCAGATGGAGTTCTTGACCTTGTGTTGTATGTAGCGTGCTGGCCTCTGTCGTTGGCAGCCCAGGTACAAAGGCTCTCAGAGAACACCCCCACCCCCCACCCCCCGGAATTGGGTGAGCTGGGGGAAAGCTGCTGATGGGCATCAGGCTGCTGTGGTGGTGGCTGTTCTTGTTTCTCTGCCGTCGCTGCTGGAAGGGTGGGAGGGAAGATGGGGACTCAGGGAAGGGTGAGGGAAGAGCGATGAGAAAGGGAGGATGAAGGGGGGAAAGAAGGAAGAGGAGAAGGGGGAGGGGGAGAGGAGGAAGAGGAAGATGGAAGAAGGAGGAGGAAGTGAAAGAAGTCAGATGTAAAAAAAGAGTACATACAGTATGACAGCGTTTATCTGAACTCCAAAAGTAGGCAAAATGACTCAGCGAAGTCAGGATAGTGGTTAACCTTGGAGGGGACGTTAGTAGGGAAAGCTGCTGTGAGGGGACTCCTGCGGTGCTGCCAATGTTCTGTTTCTTGAACTTCATGCTGGTTACACGGATTCACTTTGTGAAAGTTAATCGAACACTAAACTTATGATTTGTGCACTTTTCTCTGTGCATGTTACATTTGAATAAAATTTATAATAAAAAATGCAATATAAATAAATTAACACACAAATTGAAGCAGAAGATAGATTTCTGCTTTCACTGATACTATTCCACATGGTTTGGAGCATCTAGCTAAAGCCACAAGGCAAAACAATTTGTATAAAATGTAGGAATTAACCAGAATTAATTAGAACATGTGTTATTGTGGCTGGATAAAACATAAACATAAAAAATAAAGTAGTTTACATTAGTAATAACTACCTAACCACAACAGTTAAATATAGAAGAAACATCTATTAAAAATTCAAACAATGTTAGAGGATGAAAAGACAAGCCACAGACTGGGAGAAAATATTTGCAAATTACATGCTTAACAAAGGACTTGTATCTAGAATATATAAAGAACTCTTAAAGCTCAGTCAGAACGCATCTGGAATGACACAGTAAGGACTTCCAAAAATTTGCTGCTCAATAAAAGAAATGATGACGTTGGCAAAACTTGTCAAAATTAACTTTCTTAGAAATCTGAAAGTTAACCAAAGGCTTGCAACAATGTAAGAAGTGTTTATTCAAGAAAAACGACTGAATTTTTGTAATAACAGCAATTTTTTAAAAAAATTGTGATTTAGGTGAAAGTTTACAGAGCAAATTAGTTTCATATTCAAAAATTTCTACACAAATTGTTTCACGGCATAGGGAGCAATCCTGCATTGTATCAGCACTCTCCCCCTTCCCTTTCCCTTTCCACCCTGATTTCACCGTGTCCCTTCCCCTCTGGCCTTCTCAACTTGTTCCCAGGCAGGTGTTGCTCATTTGATCTTATGTACTTGATTGATCTAAGAAGCATGTTCTTCACATGTGTTATTGTTTGTCTTATAGGCCTGCCTAATCTTTGGAGCCCTGGCGGCCCAGTGGTTAAGAGCTTGGCTGCTAACCAAAAGGTCGGCAGTTTGAATCCACCAGCCACTCCTTGGAAACGCTATGGGACAGCTCTACTCTGTCCAATAAGGTCACTATGAATCGGAATTGACTCAATGGCAACGGGTTGGTTGGTTGAATCTTTGGGTGAAAGGTGAACTTTGGGAGTGACTTCAAGTCTGAGTTAGAAAGGTGACCAGGGGCTATAGTCTCGGGAGTTCCTCCAGTCTCTGTCACACCAGTAAGTCTGGTCTTTTTTAATGACAATGAATTTTATAGTGTTTTAACTTGTATTTCCATCCCCTACTTCCTGGCTTTGTAGTTACCTTGAAAACCAACAGCCTTGCAACTACCAAACTAAACTCATTACCATCAAGTCGATTATGATTCATAGTGACCCTATAGGACAGAGTAGAACTGCTCCATAGAGTTTCCAAGGCTGTAATCTTTATGGAAACAGACTGTCACATCTTTCACCTGCTGAGCAGCTGGTGGATTCAAACTGCTGACCTTTCCGTTAACAGCTGAGCACTTAACCACTGTGCCACCAGGGCTCCTTTTTTGCAACTACAGTAGCTGAGAAAATCAGCAGCCACTGGAGGGGGTAGAATGAGTCTGAAGATTCCCAAAAGGCCTCATTATTAGAGAATTGTCATTATTTGATCTGTCTGACAGCTCCCTGGAAACCCTCACTCTCAGAGCTCATTTTTATTTGACCTGATTCAAAGCTTGTTCACTGCAAACAGCCTTTCCCCTGGGGATTGTCCAAATCAATCAGTGGCAATTGTTTAACATTACAGCTGCCTGAGGCTGGGATAATAGTTGGGAAAAACAAGAGGCTGACCAAAAAGTTTAAAAGAAAAAGCTGGATAATGAGATTTCCCTAAGGGGCTTTGAAAATTTCTGTCATGTCTAGATTCTAGAAGGCAATGTGATTATTGACTTTCTTGGGCTGTACGCATGCCCAAGAAAGACCTCAGAAGACCCCAGTCTCTCACCTCTGGCTGATCTTGAGGCTCTGCACAGGCAGGAATTGAAGGCTAAAGCTGAGTTGTAAACAGCTAGAAGGCATCCCCCAATACGCACACACAGAGCCCCTTGGCAAAGGCTGGGAGACCTATATGTTCAAGACATTTAGGAAAATAACTCTTCAGTTATAAGCTGACAGCTAATCTACCTGAGGAGTCCTCATAGCTCAGTGGTTAAGAGATCAGCTGCAAACCAAAAGGTTGGCAGTTCGAATCCACCAGTAGCTCTTTGGAAACCCTATGGGGCAGTTCTACTCTGTCTTATAGGGTCACTATGAGTTGGGTCACTATAAGTTGGAATCAACTTGATGGCAATGGGTTTTTTTTTTTTTTAATCTAACTGGGCAGAGACCTCAGTGGTCACACATGACAAATAATACATATTGTACAGAATAAGTTCAGGAAAATCACCAAACAAATAAACAGCATCCAGCAACAACAACAAACGACCCCAGGGAGGAGGAAAATCTGATTTCCAGAATTGCTACATTGTTGTTGGTGGTGGTGGTCATTCAGCTGGCTCCGACTTACGGTGACCTTATGGACTGGAGGATCAAGGGCTGAGCCTTCCTCTCCCCCTTCTCCCTCTTAAGAAGCTGAGCCCGAGGCTCAGATGCCAGGAGTCAGGCTGGTATTGAGCAAGAGCAGAGAAATGGGCTCCCCTGGGCCCAGGTGTGCAATGACTGGAAACACCAACAATTATGGGAAATTGAGGCAGGAAATGAAAGCAGGTGTAGGGTGGAGGGAAAACAACAAACTGTACTGTGGCCCCTCTGGTCTGGTGCTCCTTCTCCAGTGGTAAAAATGAGGAAGCCAGGAGAGCTGGAAGGAAGGGGTGAAGTAAGAAGGCACACCCTGGAGGAGGAGGCAAAGTTGGCCCCAACCCAACTCACACACGCGTGCACGCACACACACACACACACACACACGAGCAATCTGCCTACATTCCAATTTAAATGCATTCTCATTATTCACTGTCAGAAGTCAGGGAAGTGGGATATCGCTGATTATAGACTCAGGCTTTCAGATATAAAGATCAGTAGGACACCGGTCACTGGTGTGGGTCCTCCTTTGGTCACTCCTTACCCCAGATCTCCAGGATTTAGTTCTTCCCAACTCTGGTGACTGTGCTGCACGAGGAACCCAGGAATCACAGCTCCAGACTTCCCACAGGTAACTGGCCTGGGGATGCAGGTGGGACGAAGGGGGCAGGGAGGATGTTGGAGAAAGCAGGGAGAGGGGAACTTTGGGTCTTAGGTAGAACCAAATGGGAAGAAATATAAGGTGTCAGATTGGGGATTTAATTACTATTCCCTCCACTGGATTCTAGATTGAATTATGGCAGCCTCAACGCTCAGGTACAAACTAAGAGTCAAACTCAGCCCCATTTCTGGACCATCCTCAGCCCCAACACTAGCCACAGTCACAATCCCCAATACTAACCCCAGCCCCAGCTATTCCTTTAACTGCAGTCTCAACTTCAACTCCAAATACAACCTGAATCTTAACACCAGCCCCAATCAAAACTTGAGCTTCAACCCTACTCTATTTCCAACAGTGCCAAGTTAGGCCCAGTTCCATCTATGGCCCAACATGAGTACTGACCTCAATCCTAGCATGAGACACAACTTCAATTCCAGCCCCTAAAATCAAATATAGTTATAGCAACAAGTTTAGTTCCGACCTTATTTTCAACTTCAATTCCAAACTCAACCCAGCTCTAGCCCAAACAAACCCCAATCCCAAACCCACTCCCAACCTCAGCTTCAAACTCAGGTCCATTCTCATTCCTAGTCTTAGCCCTGGGCTCATTCTCAACCTGAACATCATCTCTTACCTCAACTTAGCCCTGACCTCAGTCCCAACTCCAGTCACAGCCGTCCCATTGGCCTAGCTCCTGCCCCAGCCTGGCCACAGTCCCTGCCTTCATTTCAGCTCTGCAAGCCTCAGAGGCCATGTGGGTCCAAACACGTCAGTGAAGTATGAAGACTTCCAGCCCCTGGAGAGTGAGAAGAAAAGCCAGAGGTTTAGGAATGGTAAGAGGAAAGGAGCCCCTGAGAAGCAGTCTCTCCTAAAACACCCTCTCCATATGTCTAGGAAGGTTTCTGCTGTCAGATCATGTCTGTATCTTCACCATGAGTACTGGCGGGGTCCCTGCTCTGAAGGGGGTCAGGGCTGAGCCTCTGGCGGTCCCCATCTGAAGAGGATCTGAGGTCCTCACTACAGGGACAGGAAAGATTACAGCTGACCTGTCTTCCTGGGCTCTGTGGGGAAGGGATGAGCGGTTAGAGGTGGGTGGAGGAGGATGATGAGTTAGTTGGGTTTGGAAGGGAAACTCATTTGTTAACCTGATATTACAGATGAGTGTGAGCCCGATAGGGCCTGGAATGTCCCCAACTCTCTCTGCGTCCTCCTGTCACCTCCCTGAGCTCTGATGATAGGACCTTACACATCACCATTGTCCCCTGCCTGTGTGCACATATGCGTAAGTGTGTTACTGAGGTAGGAGGGGGCCATCTGCCTAAGGATCTTGCTGGTCCAAAATGGGGAAAGTAAAAGGCCTGGGCATCCCCTACCCCACAATCCTCCTGGTTCAGCCCTTCCCCTCAGCTTGCCTGTGCCCAGCCTTCATTCCTAGACAGCTTCTTCTTGCCCTCTTCTCCTGTTCCTCTCATGTCCTGGACCCTCCTCTTCTTGACACCCTCTCCTCCTGCAGGGCCACATCCTCTTCAGTCCTTGCTGCAGCATCTCTGGTCTGGACCTCACCTCCTCCTGCTCTCCCTGGGCCTCAGCCTCCTTCTGCTGGTCATCATCTGTGTGATCGGATCTCAAAGTGAGGGTCACAGGGGTGGGCAGGGATGGGGCAATAATGGGGTACAGTAGTGAGGCAGTGATGGGGGCAGTGATGAGGACCATAGCAGGAGCAATGATGGGCCACAGTGACCACAGCAGGGCAGTTATGGGGACAATAATGAGGGTTACTGACAATGACAGTGCCATCAACAGTCATTGGGGCCATAATGGGGCCACTGTGTGATGCAATGATGGAGGCATTAATGGGGCAATGGATGCACAGTGGTGTGGGCAGCAATGGGGGCACTTATGGAAATGGTGATGGGTCTACGACAAGGGTGGCTGTAGAAACACTTGAGTTAGACAAAAAGGGTTGAATCCTGGTTCTGTTACTTATTAGCTGGGTAATGTGGATAAATTAAGGTCCCTGGGTGGTGCAAATGGTTTGTGCTCAACTACCAACATTAAGGTTGGTGGTTTGCATCCACCCAGAGGATCTGAGGAAGAAAGGCACGATGATCTTGCTTCTGTAAAGAAAACGTTATGGAGCAGTTCTATTCTGCACACATAGGGTCACCACGAATTGAAATCAACTTGATGGCAATGGGTAGACAAATTACTTAACCTCTCTAAGCCTCAGCTTCCTCATCTGCACTACGGGATAACAACAGTGCCTGCCCCATTGGGTCATCATGAGGACTGAATGAGATAATGCATGTAAAGTGCACTGCTCGGTGCCTGGCACAGGGTGAGAACTCCAACAATCTTGGCTCTCATTGGCTCATCCTACTAATCAGTTTCCAAGCTTCAGTGAAACCTGTTGACCCTGAGAACAACTTCCCTCAACTTCACATCAAGCACCATGGCTGAGGTTCAGGCACTGAAGTCCCATGGTGAGCTTGGGGGTGGGGACATGGCTGGCTGAGGGAGAGGGTGGGAGCTGACTCCCGGCACTAAGCCTCACTGTGCTCCAGGTGGCAGCTTGCAAGAAATGATAACATCTCTGCGAGCTGAGGTGGAGGGACACAAGCAAGAGCTGCAAGCAGGTGAGAGACCCTCCAAGAGTGTGTGTGGAAGGGTATGGGCCAGGAAGCTTAGGACAAAGAGGGGTGCAGCCTAGTGGGTGCTGAGCAGCACTGCCCTCCAGCCCACAGCTTGAACGACAAGGTGTTTACTCTGGAGAGCAAGTTGGATAAACATGTGCAGGAACTCAAAGCAGGTCAGAGACCACTGTTCCCCTCCACCTTGGGAAGGCGTGTGGGATGGCATGATGGCTCCTAGGCTGGGGTCTGTGCGTGGGCACCTGACCTCCAGGGACTCACTGAACAGAAGCCACACCCAGGGCACTCTCCCCACTGCCCATCTGTCTGTGTTCCAGGTCATCTCAATATGCTCCTGTGAGTCCAGCAGCTGGCAAAGGACCTGAAACCCCTGACTTGCCAGATGGATGCTCTCAAGAGCCATGGTGAGCAGAGCTGGGGGGAGGGTGCGAGGAGGGGAGGTGGGGGGGGGAGTTCTTCTCTGGGCTCAAGTTCAAGGGGACACCAGATGAGGCCGGACAACAAATCACCCCTCTTCCCATCGACGAATCACCACCCAACCCTCCTCAATGGCGGACGGGGGGGGGGGCGGCGGTTGGGGACGCAAACTTAGAGATTGCCCCTGGGTGCTCGTTACCCTCCCTATGCCTCTGATGGTGAAGACTGTGTGTGGGAGAACCTGGCCCCACATTTCCGTTCACAATTCCCTGGACAGCATCTCAGACACACACCCGCTCTGCCTCCTCAGGCTCTCAGAATACCTGCTCTCCCTCTAACTGGGTGGACCATGAAGGCAGCTGCTACTGGTTCTCTCCTTCTCAGAAGTCCTTGTCTCAGGCTGAGGACTACTGCCAGCTGAGTGGCACCCACCTGGTCGTCATCAACTCCTTGGAGGAGCAGGTGAGGGCTTCTGTTGCCCATGTCCCCAGAGGGCCTAGATTTAGGGCAATGGTTCTTGACCTTGGCTACACATGGGTGTCACCCAAGAGCTTTAAAAACTTCTGATGTCTGAGTCGCACCCTCAGAGAATTTGTTGGCCTGGGCATTGGATGTTTGAACACTCCTGAACTAATTTAATGCATAGCTAAAGTTTAGAACCACTAGTCCAAGGAGTTGACTGGGGTCAGGAGAAGTCATCATTGCCCTTCTGTCCCCGCAGAATTTTGTCCAGGGTAATATGGGCTCCTTGGAATTCTGGATTGGCCTCAATGATCCTGAAGGAGTTTGGAAATGGATGGATGGGACGGACTATGACACCAGCTTCAGGTGAGTGTGTCCTCTATCAGCTGTGCCCCTCAAGGAGATGACCCACAGCCCCTCTTCCCCAGACCTGACTTCTGCTCCATCTGACCTTCCTAACTTGATATTGTCCTCTCCCCTCAGAAACTGGGATGAGAACCAGCCAGACAACTGGGATGGGCACGGCCTGGGTGGAGGCGAGGACTGTGCCCATATCTAGACCAGTGGCAAATGGAATGACATTGCCTGCCAGATGCCCTTCCGCTTTGTCTGTGAGACCAGCATGGGCAAGGCCATCTAGGAAAATCACTGAGTTGCTTCCTGTTGACCCCTCAGCCATGGAAATGATGAGGGAAAATTCTTCCCCAGAAATTATCCCTTCAAGGGAGAGGAATAAGCCCTGGAAGTTTGGAAACACTGCCATTATTTTGCATTTTTTTCTCCTTAACTTTAAGAAGACTATATGGAATTTTTAAGTTTTTAGTTTTACCTTTAAAAATCAACTTTATTGAGGTATAATTATCATACAATAAAATGAGCCTAATTAAAGTATAGAGATGAGTTTTTTCTTCTTTCTTCTTTTATTGTGGTGAAAATGTGCATAACAAAACATACAGCAATTCAACAATTCTACATGTACAATTCAATGACAATGATTACATTTTTCAAGTTGTGCTACCATTCTTGCTATCTTTTTCCAAATTATCCCACCACCATTAACATACGTTCAATGGACCCTAAGCAAAAAACCCCTCTTTTCCCCTCCCTCCTACATCTGGTAACAATTAATAATTTTTGGTTTCTATATATTTACTTATTTTATATAAGTGAGGTCATACAGTATTTGTCCTTTTCTGACTGACTTATTTCACTCCAGATATGAGCTTTGACAAATGTCAATATTGAAGCAACTACTGCCCCAGTCAAGATATAGAACATTTCCTTCACCCAAAAAGTTCCCTCATGCCCCTTTGCAGTCTCCAGGTAACTAGTGATCTGCTTTATTCGCTAATCAATACTGTTGATTAGCTTTGCTTATTCTAGAATTTCATAGAAATGAAATCATATGGTATATACTCTTATGAGATGTTATGTATTTTGTGTTGCCTAATTTTTGGCAGTCTTAAAATGGCAGGGTAGAGAAGCTATGTGAGGCCTTGGAATATCCTATATTATTATGGAAAGAACACTGAGTTCTTTTCGTATGGATTTGAATTCAGATTTTTTCTGTCACTCAAAAGCTGTGTAAACTTAGGGTAATCAGGAAAGGCAGTTCTTTAATTTCTCTGAAGGTGCTAGAGTTGTTGGGGGAAGTAGACAAGATCCCCAGGTGTATGGTTAACTGTTACTGTGTAACAAAAAAACCCTAAACTGAGTGGCTTAAAACAAAAGCATTTATTATAGCTCATGAGTCTACAGGTCAGTTGGGTGGTTTTCTGATGTGGCCAAACTTGACTGATCTTAGCTGGACTCATTCATGCATCTGTGGTCAGCTGGTGGGTTGATAGTAGGCTGGCTGATCTAGGATAGCCTCATTCCCATGTCTGACATTTGGGTAGTGTCTTAATTATCTAGTTCTGCTGTAAGAGAAATACCAGAAGCAGATGGCTTTAACAAACAGAAATCTATTCTCTCAAAGTTTAGGAGGCGGGAAGTCCAAATTCAGGGTGCCAGCTCCAAGGGAAGGCTTTCTCATTCTGTCAGCCCTGGGAGAAAGTCCTTGTCATCAATCTTTCCCTGGGTCTAGGAGTTTCTCAGCAAAGGGACTCTGGGTCCAAAGGACACTATCTTCTCCTGGCTCTTCTTTATTGGTGGTAGGAGGTCCCCTTCTTCCCTGCTCACTTCTCTCTTTTATGTCTCAAAAGAGATTGATTCAAGATACAATCTAATCTTGTAGATTGTGTCCTGCCTCATTAGCATAACTGCCTCTAATCCTGCCTCGTCAACATCATAGAGGTTAGGATTCATAACACATAGGATAATTACCTCAGATCACAAAATGTAGGACAATCACACAATACTGGGAATCATGGCCTAGCCAAGCTGACACACATTTGGGGGTTGGGGGTGGGGGGATAGGACACAATTCAATCCATAACAGGTAGCTACCAGCTGGAACAATGGGGATGACTGGGCCACATTAGGCTAGCCTGAGCTTGTTCACATGGTGGCTGGGAAGGGTTCCAACAGAGTAACTGAAAGAGTATAAGGAAACTGGAGCCTTAGACTTGCAACTGAAACATTGGTTTTGCCCTGGTGGTGCAGTGGTTAAGAGCTATGACGAGTTACAGCTGCTAACCAAAAGGTCGCCAGCTCAAATCCACAAGCCACTCCTTGAAAACCCTATGGAGATAGTTCCACTCTGTCCTATAGGGTCACTATAGGTCAGAATTGACTTGATGGCAATGGTTTTGGTTTTTGGTTTTTTATTGGCCAAAGCATATCACAAAGCAGCTCAGATTCAAGGACTGGGAAATTGACTTCACCTTTGATGGAAGGAGCAACAAAGTCATATTGCTTAGAGGATGCTTATCAGGAGACATCTATATACTGCTGTTGTTGCAAGCAATCTAACATACCAGGGGACGCATCCAAGCCATAAAGAACCAGCTCATAGCTAAGGGTGCTCACTAAAAAAGAGCAGTGCTTCATTCCTCACTACATTGTCTGCACCCAGAAAACTGTCTGGCATATGGGAGGTTCTCAATGAATGTTAGTTAAAAATAAAGAGAGTGAGGTGAGAGGGAAAGTATGGGAAAGACAGGATTTAGTTCCCAGAGAGGCAGCACCCCCCCCCCCTTTCCTGCCCACCAGCATTACATGAAAGTCATGGGCTGGAGAAGAGAGAGGTCTTGACAGAAAGTTCTCAAAGGAGACCCAGCACTAACAGGGGTCCAGTGTATGAGAGATTCCACCTTGTGGTTCAATGAGCACCAAATACTATTCACAGGGTCCTTGAGTCCTCAAGTGGTCTCAGGTCTGCTTTCCTGATTTCCTTTTAGTAGTTCTCTTTATTGGTTTATAGGAATCCAACTGATTTTTGTATGTTTATCTTGTATCCTGCTACTCTGCTGAATCTTTCTATTAGTTCCAGTAGTTTTCTTGTGGAGTCTTTAGGGTTCTTTATGTATAGTATCATATCTTTTGTGAATAAGGATAATTTTACTTCTTCCTTACTAATTTGGATGCCCTTTATTTCTTTTTCTTGCTTTATTGCTCTAGCTAGGATTTCCAACACAATGTTAAATAGCAGTGGTGATAAAGGGCATCTTGTCTTGTTTCTGTTCTCAGGGGGAATGTTTTCAGCCTCTCTCCATTGAGAATGATGTTGGCTGTTGGTTTGTATAGATGCCCTTTATTATGTTGAGGAATTTCCCTTCTATTCCTACCTTATTGAGAGTTTTTATCAGGAATGGGTGTTGGACTTTATCAAATGCCTTTTCTGTGTCGATTGAGATGGTTATGTGATTCTTTTGGTCACAAGTCTGTCAAAGGTACCACAACTGAATCCACAGATTATGGAGAAACTTCCTCTCCATCAGAGTCAGTAGTCTATGGTCAAGGTTGGGCTGAGGGTTGTAAACAGGAGGAAGAACATCAGGAAATGTTCCCAGCCTGGAGACTTGATGTGTCAGGTGACAAGGGGAGTCACCTCCCTAGGAGTGATGAGGCTGCCTCTGCTCAGGCTGTGCCTGACAGGTTCATCACAAGGTGCTCTCAAGGGTCTTTAAGGTGGGCAGTGGGTGATAATGACACAGCATGGGGCAGACAGTCTGAAAGATCTGGGCTGGGAAAAGGTGGAAACAACCTAAATGTCCATCAACGGATAAATGGATCAACAAAATGTGGTATATCCATCCAACGGAATATTACTCAGCAATAAAGAGAAGTGAAGTCCTGAGACATGCTACAACACGGATGAACCTTGAAAACATTATGCTGAGTAAAGTCAGACAGTCACAAAAGGACAAATATTGCATAATCCCACTTACATGAAATAACAAGAATAGGCAAAAGTGTAGAGAACAAGGAGTCCCTGGGCAGTGCTAACGGTTGAGTACTTGACTACTAACCTAAAGATTGCCAGTTCCAACCCAGCCAGCAGCGCTTCAGAAGAAAGTCCTGGTGATCTGCTTCTGAAATGTCACAGCCTTGAAAACCCTGTGAAGTTCAGTTCTACTCTGCAACACATGGGGCCACATAGGGTTGCCATGAGTCGGAATCAACGTGGCAACAGGTGTGGTTTGGTATAAAGACCAAAGTTTATTAGCAGTTCCCAGGGGCAGGAGGGAGAAGGGAAAGAGGAAGCCATTGTTAAGCAAAATGGGTGAGTTTCTATTTATGGTGATGGAAAATTCAGCAATGATCATGGGTGATGGTTGCATGACATCATTAATGTAATTGATATCCCTAAATTGTACACCTGAAAAATGTTGATATGAGAAATGATGTTGTTCTATATATTCTTACAACAATTAAAAAAAAACAAAAACAAAAAAACCTGGGCTGGAACATTCTGTGCCTGATGGCAAGTTACTTATCCTCTCTGAGCCCCAGTTTTCTCCTCTCAGAAATGGGAATAATCGTACTTGAATACATACACACTCTCTTTCACCTCTGCTTAGATGGCTTTTTCTTCACTGCCCCCTCTTCCCCTTGTTTAAAATCTAGTCATCCTTCAAATATTGGTTTGAATGTGACTTCTTTATGGCAGGATGCCCTCTCCCCTGTAGAATGGTGAACTTCCCTGGCTCTAAGGCCCTCTATAGCTCTGCGCTTCCTCCCTTGGGCTGTCATCCGCTCACAATTACTAGTTCAAATGTCTGTTCTGGTAGCTGGACAGACCCCAGAAGGGAGGGACCCCACCTGTCTCTTCACTGATGTCCTCTCAGCTCTTGGTCTGGGTTGATGGAAGGAGGTTTCCCAAGGAGCAGACCTGGCCCTTCTCAGTCCTGGGACTCAGCGCTGTCCAATGGAATTTCACTGCTTCTCTGTAAGTGATCCTGCAATACCCTGGAGCACAGCTTGTTTCTGTGGCCAGAAAACCATCTTGCCAATTCAGAATAAAGCTGTCACTCTGGATTTCTGTCCATGGACAATTCTGGATTCTTCCATTCTCTCCTGTTTGTTGTCATGGATTGAGTTATGTCACCCAAAAATATCTGTCAACTTGGCTAGGTCATTGTCGTGGATTGAACTGTGTCCCCCAAAAATGTCAACTTGGCAAGGTCATGATTCCCAGTATTGTATGATTGTGTGTTGTAAACGCTATCACTATGATGTAATAAGATGGATTAGCAG